ACGTGATCACTTGAAAGATAATTGTATTATTATAAGCTTTCGGATTCATACCAGAGACCATCGTCAGTGATATGAGAAAACAGCAAGTGGTGACATGTTTTTAGTGTAGCTACCAGTAAATGGGGCCACCGGGACAAACGAAGGAGAGTCACCAACACTCTGGCATCCGCTACCGTACATAAAAACCTGTCAGAAGCGACAGAATTAATTGCTCCAGAACTCGGCGTGAGTATTGTTTTCGTCCGACAGCTACCATGTGTTCACGGTTCATGCAGATAAAAGACCCACTGGACGTCAGTGAGCAGTCGGGTGACTTTTATCAATTTCTATGTCAGGACTGTTCTTGCCATTATACAGGCAGACGGGGTGCCGACTTAATTCGCTAATAGCGGGCCACACACGGGCAGTGCGGCAAGGCGAGCCGCTGCCCCAGATCGCTACTCACCCTTTGGAAGAAGGCCACGAATTCGACCTAACGGGCAGGCAGATAAAAGTACGCGCCGCTTATAAGATGGGGCGAGAAATTTTGATGTCTGGGTGTCAGAATCTAACTCAATCAATGGGCATGTGGATATATTACTCTGTTATTTTGCCTTCCATGCGTGCAACGAAGTGTACGGCCCGTTTTTGCCGGGACGCACACGCTGATACGCCAAGGACGCAAGACACGGTACCAAGGACGCGCGCAGAGACAGCAAGATGAAACGGCGTGCTCATGGACCAATCACGAAAACCACTTCCTTCCCTACCACTTATTTACTCGTAGTTAAGCTACAAAGCACGGCACCGTTTGTTGTTATCTCATTTCGCTGACAATGGCCCCTGCTGTGAGGCCGGAAGCTCAGAATAATACAAATACCGTCCCAGTGATCGCGTCTTCTTGATCTGTAACCTGTAGTGTTTCTGGTTAGCGTGGCTGCCTATTCTGGAGTTGAATCTGTTGTTGAATCTTGGCAAGCAACCCTCAACTAACCACTATTCGTTTTGCAATATATTCAGGTTACTATTATAAACGCGGCTTGGTACCACCGCCAAACGCCGACATCATTCAAATCGACATAGAAGTCCAGGGAAGTTATAGCAATCCCAACATCTCGGGCTCCACCGTTGGTGCCACGCTCACTGTCAATGCTGATGGGGTTTTGATACAGAAGAAAATCAGCTTTTTGCTCACCCCTTCCGCGTCGGATGATTTACGTGTAAACACTCGGGCGAATGTCGACAAGCATACAGACGAACATGGGGAAAAAAGGTAAAATTGCCGTTCCGCTTGGCTTTGCGTAAAACTGTATTTTGTAATATGCTGCAACCTTTTTCCCAAAGCAAGACTGACTCGATGGTAATAAGTTGTGTGATAAGAAGGGCAAATGAGTGTAATAAGAAGAAAAAAATAGAGGAAAAATCATGCTAAACAAGTTACATAGTAATATCGATTGAATTCTTAATTTGAGCTTACAACCATGGCAAAGAAATCAAGCACGGTGTGTTCAAACTATCAGTATGCTTCAATAGCCTAACCCTAAGCATAAATGCCGCCTCTACCTTATAAATAACCCATAAATGTTCCATTTAACTCTGAATCTATATCAATTCTCAAACCACAATGTTATCCCGACACCTAAATCTGAACCTTTAACCTTACCTCAATTCTAAGTCTAGCCTTAAGATGGAGGCTAAAATATTCTCCCAACCTAACCTTAAATCTACCCGTAAACCTAGCTTCTTCAAACCCTAACCCTTATGCAGAACCAAACCCTTATCCTTATCCACAATTAAGTGCTTACCCTATTTATAATTAACTTTTAACTGAGGCAACAGTAGTTTATGTAGTGCACCTCAATAATCCCTAGTCCCAGCATTTTGTTCTACGAAAATGGTGGATATAGGGTTTTGTGGGTAGAAAACTGGGATAGGGAGTGAAATATACCTCAATAACTGTTATATGCATTTTTATTATATTGTATTTAGAAACTTTGTTGATTTATATCTGTAGACTATCCTAACCTGTATTAATTTTTGACATATTGCGGACAAAAACCCGATTATAAAATTGCAGGTTTCTTGAAATGTCTGGAAAATAGAAGTAGTGGTTAAGAGGTCATTTACTCCAACTTGTCTGAGGTCCAACTTACCCTTATGGAGTTAGATTAGTAAAGTCCGCGGCGCGAAGCGCCGAGCACACCTTAAAATTACATGCAGAACAATTAACTCCCAGCGACCGCCAGAAACAAATTAGACTACATTTTTCACTTTACACTTCCTTCTAAAAATCTCCTTTTCTGCCTATCCTATTTCTCCACCCCAAAAACCCTATAGCCATTGTTTCCGTGGAACTAAATGCTGAGACTAGGGGTTTATGAGGTACACTACATAACATACTTTTGCTGAATCGTAAACCCGAAAATTTTGACCTAGCCCTTTAAGTAATTCCTAAGTATAATCCTAACCCTAAACAAACGCAACCATAACATTGAGGCCAAACCCAGGACTTGCCAGAGACCTAGCCTTAAACAATTACCCTATTTAAACTATAAGCCTAAACCAGAGCCTTGAAGTAAACCTACCCTTATCCTAACGCAACTATACCCTAGCTTTAGTTCTCAAACCGACTGAAAGTGATGCAAGTGGCAGTAGACACGCCAGCTCAAACAAAATATCTAAACCGTAACCTCATGCGTTTATTCTTTCGCAAACTCCTGACCCTGGCCCCAAACTCTAATTCTCAACCCAAATTGGTAAGCTTTCTTTATAAACAACACTCCCGTAACAAAAATCATGTCTAGGTAACAGGGACTGGGTTAAATAGGTTTGCGTGGGTAGGGTATTACAAGGAAAGGAAATGAAATAAAAAACGACATAATAAACTAATGAGACAACTTGTTAGGGGGGTTGACAGAATTGCTTAATTCAGTTAACTCAAGTGGGAAAAATTCGTGGGCTTGGTGTGGCGGATAAAGTCGACCCAAGTGTGATTAAATTCATGGTGAACCTCGTAGCTCAATGGTAGAGGCTGCGAATTGTTCAAAGTTGAGTGGATCGTCATATGACTTAACTAAACTAGATAGTAAAATAAAAATTATACTTAACTAAAAATAAACCAAAATAAGAGCTAAAATGTACTACTATTAAACAAACCAAACCAAAATCAAACTAATAAAACTAAATAATAAACAAATATTACAATGATTAAACTAAACGAACTAATAACTAAAAATATTGGTTGTTTATGTAAAAAATTGCAGTGTTGTTTAAAAATACTTCTAACCATCAAGCATTTGGTTCTCACACCAAACTCCGGTCCTAAACTTGAAGGAGAAATCCAGTCCTACAGAACATCCAAAAAACAAAATTGTGGACAAATTTTAATGAAGCAAGTCTGAGTTCCTAGCCCCCTCCCTTCCAACCCCGTATCCCTAACCTACGATCGCCAGTACCAAACCCATATTCCAAGTCCCGCCTTAGAAGATGAAAACTTCCACGTCCATGAAGGCTGATTGAACGGAATTTAACCTACAGTTCTAAATGCCTACCTAACTCATATAAGTGAACATTTATTGAACTTACTTCTGTAAATTATAGCTTCGCCGATTAATATGAAATATAGAGGACTATAATTGCTTTTAATATCATGTTTACTTTACCTTCTTTCTAAGCATCATGTGTAAGATTGAGGCAGAATTGGCGGAAACCTCGAAGAAGCAGTGTCAACAAATGAACCTCTGGCTGCTGCATGGAGAATTACTTAATTTTACTGCAAATGCTCTAGCAAACTCATATTCGATAGAACAAAAGGAAAGAGGGATTATTGGTCGCGGTGTGACCTTACTGGCTGTAAGTTGAAATTCTACGTTTTTGACTTAAACAGCAAATAGGGTGTGTGGACGTTTTTTTGGGCAACACGATTTTAGTTTGTCAGTGTTAGTGTAAGAGGGTTTCTATGCGTTTTATGGGGTCAAATCCATGTCATGGTTGTTCAAATTTCCTATATTTGCGAAGATACGTTTTGTACCCGAACGGCTTCATGAATTAATCATGGGCCGTGGACAATAGGATAGGTCATTTACGGTAGTATTTTAACATTAATAAGAGTAAATGAATGATTTGCACTCGAAATGGGTTATAAAGCGTTTGAACACATTCAGGTCAGGTCAGGTCAGGTCAGGTTTTTATTGAGGGAAATATAGGTAAA